GGCTGCTGAGTGAAAGACTTCAGGTGTTAATGACACCCTAGTTCTCCCCTTTTTCTTGTATTTAAATACTCAGCAGCAGAATGCTCCATATTTGGGTCCTGGCTAGTTTTGAAGAAATGTAATCTTTAAAAAGAAGAATAGTGAAGAAACACCCTCATGTTTGCTAAGTGCTACCTCAGCTCCCATGAGTGTGGCTGCTCTTCAGTCTTGCAATGTATTTGGAGCAGGGGAAGACAGGCCCTTCTTGAAGAAAAACAGGAAAAAGCTGGAATCTTAGGAAACATTCTATATTCCTTTATAAGTGAAGGCAGGAAAAATAGCAACAAAGCATCTAAACAGGATCCCTGAAGTAATTTGAAGGGAGGAGAAAGAAAATCTTAGCACAGGAAACAAGCTGTGCTGTTGATCACCTTGACAGCTGTAAAATAGTGGCATGAGCCTGACTTCTAGAAACTGCTGGTGACAGAGAGAACATCCTCTTAACCGGGGTGCTTTAAAATGCTTTGAAAAAAAATGTGACAAATAATTAAAATGGAAAAGGTGACTAAATAAATAACATTTAATACCTCCATATGTGAAGATTGTCCTAGAAATTCCAGTGTAAGCTAAGCTCAGTGTTTCCTTGCTGCCTTGCAGGTGTAGGGATGAAGTTAACAGATGTTGGCATAGCAACCCTGGCCAAAGGGTGAGTGAATGGCATTTCTCAGCAGCATGGTTGTACTTTACTCATCTGTCTCTTCACAGTTACGTGTGGATGGGGGAGGGTGCACTGGAAATTCATTCTTGCTTTAACTTTACAAGAAAGCAGTCCTTATCTAAGTCTTTTAACTTTTTCATGTTCATCTTTATGGAAACCTGCCTGTAAAGGAAACACATTTATTTTGTTCTGAAAGAGCGGGGCTACCCTGTAGATTGAGCTTTGTTTTTCCTGCATGCCTCCCTTGAAACGGGCTTGTCCAAAGGGTATTTCACAAGTGACATGAAGGGTTCTGCTGACAGCAGGTAGGGCTCCTGGTGGTCCATCAGCTGGAGGAAGGTAGGGCTGAACACACGGGGCCAGCACTGGCTGCAGCCCACGGTAAAAGGCAAGCTGGAATCCTTCCTGCAGCCAGCAAAAGTGCCAGAACTTTGGGATATGTATTTGTGACACAAGCTTTTAGAAAGACTCTTCTCAGTGGGGTGCTGTGTATTGGCCACTTCCCTGATAAACAAGGGCAATTGTGAAGCGGTTTGATGGTATCCCTCCCCTTTCTTTCTCAAAAACAGCAGTTCTGAGCCTTAACAAAAGATTATTCAGGGTTTCTAGAGCCTGTTTTCTAGTGGTGTTGTAAAAGCTTCAGCTCTTTTGGGGAGACTTAAGAATATGGGTAAAGATGTAGGCCTGTAATAGTCTACCTTTAGTCCACTTGTCTTAAGTTAATTAAGACTTCTAGTTATATCACAGTCCAGCAGAGCTGTGGATAGGAATAGGTAGTGGCTGCTGGACAGGGAAAGGGGATGGGGGTAAGTGCTTTTACTTCATATTCTCCTTTGAGAATCTGGCAGGAGAAAGAAGGTCTGGTCATGTGTTCAGCCCTTATTCTAAATTGCACCTTGTCTGTATACCTGGGATACAAGAAGAAATATCATACGATAATCATCACAGTATCATCTAAATTATTAAAAATGTGACTTTAGAATATTCTGGGAGAGTCCTGAACATTTGCAGGCTGGCATCCATTCTATTAGACTGATTTACTCTTGCAGCTGTGGATCCAAAATAAAAGCAGTTGAAATGAATGTATATCATCCTGTCACAAGCCAAAAAAGTAATAAATGTTTTATTTAGGCAACACTGTTGTCAGGACTCAGAAGATTTATAAAAATGCTTTCGTGAATGTTGTCCAGCTCCCGGTGGGAAATGATTCCTATAGAAACACACATTGTGCTGGAGAGGAGGAAGTGAGCACACAATGCAAGCTGTAGTAAGGATCACCTCAGGCATATAAAATAATTTCCCTAAATGAAGAACCTCCTGAAAATATTGAATATAATTTTGTTTGTTATTTAGCTAATTGTATTCCTGCAAGATGAAAGATTTTCCCTGGTGCTGTATTTTGTTTTCATGCTTCTTTCCTGGAAAGAAGATCTCTGTATTCATGTCTGCAGTTGGATTTTTAGTTCTATGAACATGGGTGGGGAGCCCAGGGCTCGTGTGTGTTGCTGGTTCTTGCTGCTTTGGGCTGTTCAGCCGAGTGCTGAGAGCTAACCTGGTCCCATGAAGGGAGAACACATGATCCTACTGAGCCAGAAATGCAGAGTGGGACTGGGGTGGCTTAAACTGTGCTGAACGTCTCTTTTGTACTACAAAACAGAGTCTGCAATGTGTGGAGGAAGGAATTTTCATCCTTTGTCCTTGCTCTGTGTGTTTTGCCAGGGAACTGGAGAGCAGAGGAGCCCAAAGCAGCGGTGCAGTCAATGTGCTGCAGGAGCTGCAGTGCAGTTCTGTCAGGAGGGGGCGAAGTGGACCTAGGAACAGGAACGCCTGGGAAGCATTTTTAATCTGCACCTGAGCCTTAAATCAGCCACTCTGTAGCTTCTCTGGCGAATGGAAACAAAAATACCGAAGCACAGTGTGTGGCTCTGTGCATGCAGTGAGCAGAGTAGAACTGTGCATGAGGGCCCAGGGATTTATCCAGGAATGGTGCACACAAAGGAGGGAATCAGGAGAATGGTAACCCACGGCTATGGTCATTAACAGGAGTGCTGGTTGCCAAGTCTGGATCTAAAACTCTGCCTGGTTCCGGAGTACTGACAAGTTTAGCTTTACTCCACATGGTAATAAGAGGCATTGGGGAGTTTAAACCTGAGGGCAAATCCAACATTTCCCCTTCAGATTTAAGGAAGATTTGGTTTGGTTTGGTGCTGGATAGAAGAGATTCCCTTGCTGAGGGCAGATGTGTTTGCCTGTGGAACTCCTGTTCTGTGGGTGTGTCTGGTGCATCCACCAACACAATACATACCTGTGAGCTCCTGAGAGCAGCTCAGTCTGAAGTCTCTGATTTCTCCAAGGGAGCAAGAGAACTTGATGATGATCCTGCTGGACTCCAGGATATAGTCTTGAGGTAACAACGACACGCCTCTTCAACCTGCTTTGGTTAAACAAACACACAGCTTACTTGGAGAGGAAAGGAAAATCCCTTCAAGGTTAACCTGCTGTTCAGAGCCAGCTGAGTGGGGTCTCCAGAGCAGGGCCTGTCTGTCAGCAGGAGCCTGACCTCAGAGCAGCAGTATTCTCTTTAGCACTGTGCAGTCTGCCTGAGGAAGGGAGTTCTCTGGATGCTGGGAATGAGCATCCTCTGTTCATTTCAAACCAGATCTTGTTTGGTTGGTTTTCTGTAGTTACAACTCACAGTTCAGCTCTGAGGACACTCTCTGTCCAGCAAACCAAGAGAGCAGAGTAGAGCAGGCACTGATTAAGGTTAAAAAAGGAGAGGAGCGCGTTGGCCTTTCTTCTCCCTTCTCCATCCTGAGAATTTAAACAAAATTACTCCTTTGAAGAGCCAGGTGCACCTTTTAAAATAAGCTGATGCAGCTTAAAAAGCAGGCCCTGGGAGGACTGTCAGCACCCAGAGGCACGGTGAGGAGAAGAGGGATACACGTGCCCTGTACCTCTCATGGTGGGAGGTTCAGTGGTGGCTTGGGAGCTGTGGAGGCTGGATGAGACTGCCTTCCTTGGGAGCATTCCTTCCATCCTTCCCTGAGGGGCTTGTCTCCTTGAGATCCTGTAGGCAGCCAGGGGAGGGGAGCAGCATAGCATGGAACTGATGTACATGCTTAGATGGAAACAGGTTCTAGTTCTGAAACACCTTGTGCAACAACCTTGTCTCTTCATGGTGGACAGCAGAACTGTTCATAGAGAATGATGTAGCATGGATTTCATTTGGGTGTTACTGAGAAAGGTAGCCAGCAGACAATTTTATTCACAGCTTAAGGTCATGACAGTGCCAGGACCCAGCCCACAGAGCTTTGCCTCTAATGCTTTTCCTCTTCTGTCACCACTTGTTACCTGGTTCCCCTCACATCCCAATGACCCAGTCTGAGTTTCTGTGGCAGTCAATGTTTCTCAAGCCAGCATGGGTAGAAGAGGCTTGCTTAATGTTTTCAAGTTGCTTATGAGTCAGCCGTCATACTCTGCCTCCCTGTGCTGAAAATGTATCGTGAATTCCCATTTGGGTTTTTTTTCCTTTGTTACTACAGATACAAGGGGTTTAAAGGTAACTGCTCCTTTTCCTTCATTGAGCAGTTCAGAGCCCTCCACCAGTGCAATGAGTACTGTGAGATGCTGGGGCTGAAATCTCTCCGAACCACTCATCAAAAACAGAGGAAAGCAACATCCACTAAAAGCAAGAATCTGCCAAACTCATCAACGGTAAAGAAAATGGTGCCCAAGAAGGCAAGAGAACCTAGAGACTTCATTTCTTCAGAGCACTGAGTCTCACTATCCCACCTTGTGAAACTACTCTTGAGGACATGGAGCAGTAACATGCACTAGTGACCTGAGGAGATAACTTTAGTCTTTTGACTTTTGACATTGTTCTGGAATCATCCTGATGCTGATGCCAGCAACAAAGGAAGGAGCTGATCCTGTGCTCATGGTGCCTGAGATTTAACACTGGGGCAAGGTTTGAAAACAAACTAAGCCATCTGCTGGATTTTCTTACAGGCTTCTGTCGATTGGTATTGGAGAAGAACATCTCTGTGTCTACATCCACAGCCCTGTGGTTCAGCTGCTATGGAAACATCAATATATTTAAGAGGCCAAGTACAAGTTTTGCACAGTATTGCATATGCATATGCATGCTGGGTTACTTAGAAGCCAGGAAAGGTGAAGTTTGGAACACAATGATGAATATTAAAGTTACCACTTCCATTGCAAATCAGAGCATAACATCCTTTGAGCCTAAATCTTGGACTATTCAGTGGGATTTAGGCTCCTCAGTGCACTTCTGGTACCTGGTTTTCATTAGGGCTTTGGAAGTTCCTACAGATGATGCTTATTCTTTACAGTAGTGTTCAGAAGAATTTCTGTGAGAGCATTGTGGCTGTTCCCAAAACAGGGGGTTTAGAACATAAGGCAAGGGGCTTGAGTGTGGTGGGATGGAGCAAAGCTAAAAGCATTGAATAAATGGTGTTTCAAGTTAGAGGCAACAGATTTTTATCAGAATTTTGGGAAGTGTTCAGTTTGAAAAATCTCATGAGCATTTCAGCCAGTTAATATTCCAAATGTATGTTGTAGTTTGGTCCCAAAGTCAGAGATGGAGTTCCACTCTATTGGTTAATTGCTTTCAGTTTTATTGTCCTGGTCAGTTCATTTTTAATAAAAATCACAAGCTGACTTGTCAGAGGTAAACACAGCCCTATTAATGCCAAGGAAATCCACATTCCTAATGATGACAGTATAGTGATGGTTCCTTAAGATGTCTGGTGTGCTTTACAATGAGGATCTGGAAGTGCCTGTGTCAGAGTATGGATTTCTCACATATTCTGGTGCTTTTGCCTCTAAAAGAAGGAGCAGAGTCATCTTGCTGTGCATGTACCACGGTTGTTTATTCCTCAGCACAGTGGGAAGGTAGGTGTACTGCCAGAGGTCCAAACCTTCTTGACCTGATGCCTTGTCTGCCAGGAACTATTTAGTGTGATAATGGCGTTTGATAGACTGGACACAAACACCATTGTCACACTCCACAGCTCTGGGAGCAGGTGCTTAGCCCATGGAACGAGTGATGGAGGCACACTGCAGGCTTCAGAAGAGGGAATTTCAAGGACCTGCAAAATAGACACAAGACCAGGTTTGTGCATATTTATATGTGGCACATCGGGGTTCTCACAAGGAGGTGGGACATAGGATCCTGAATTGCTTTGAGGTGAATATTGCATCTCAGCTGGCTGTGGGATGTAAAAGCTAAAGTGGCTTTGAGTTCCCTTACAGACAAGGGAGATGGACAGCACCTGAGAAAGCAATCTGTGCTATTCCAGAGACAATTTCCCGAGGAGAGGGATGAGTCATTCCTGCAAGGGCCTGTGTCTTCCTCTAGTTGATGGAGACAGCCCAGAATCAGCACCCAACTTTTATAGCTATGTCAGACCTGAGGAATCACAATACTGGGGATTATATTTGATTTTCATATACTTGTTTTTAGCAGCATTTTTGAGTAGCCCGTATACAAGACAGCCAAGTTGGTCTGTACTCCTGGTCCCACTGCCCCTTGGGAGAGGATGCAGTTGTCTTTTTGTGCCAAGAGGTGAGAATGGGATGTCCTGCTGTAGTGCTTTTCAACTCCTCTTTCATTTATTTTTGAGCTCAGAAATGCATTCCCACTTTACATACTGGGGAGAATTTACTCCCCATGTGTTGTAAACCCAGACTCTCCAATAGTCTTCAGGATCTGGTTCTGCTTTAGCAACAGAGTGTTAAGGAAGTTAAAGGCCTCAAAAGGCTCATTCTTGGAGAACTCCTCCCTGGGTTTAGCCTTCTCGTCAATCTCTTTTTGTGCAGGGAGCACAGTGCTCACAAATCAGCCCGCTCAATTCTGCAGCACCAAATGTCGAAGTGCTCGCACAGAGTTGATACCAGGGCACCCAGATAAGCTGCTGCCCACCTGTACTGACACACCTGAACCACCAGCTTGCTCTTCACAGTGTAACAAGGGTCTCCTCCCCCTGTGATCTAACTTATCTTCTCTGGATCTTCTTCCCAATTGTAATATCGTTCAACCGGTGTTGATAGGTCAGGGCAGACTTAGTGGGGCTCTGGATCGGTTTAATTCTTGATTTGCACCTAATGAAACCTCAGGGAAGGGTTTGTGATTACTCAGTGCCACAAGCTGGCAGTAGAAGCTGGGTTCTGAGTGCCCTTTGCTGGTGGACAGGACAGCAGAGAAATGGACCCTCAGTGTCTGGTTACCAGATCAGGTTGTTTCATTTCTCCAATGAGATTGTTAAAGCAGTAATAATCTGGCATTCCCATCCCTGCCACGAAAATAAGCCTAGAAATGCTTGGGCATGACTGACATCCAAGGGATTTTCATGTCCCACTGGTTCTGTCTGTGTTTGGAGTCTGTAGTCCTGCAGTGGGACAGAGCTAAGCATTTGAACACACACAAAGGCAGATGTGTAGATCCACAGGTCAGGCTCCTGTGCAGTCCCAGCTATGAAGGAGACATCTCTGAAAGAAAGACAGGAGCTGCAGCACACTCTGAGCATCACATGGCTCTGAATTAATGATGGCAAAGACCCAGTCATGCCACAACATTCTGTCAGTAAGGATGCAGCTGTAGCCCTGAGGTCCACGGGGCTGGTTTCATAAATGTGCCTATGCTGCAGTGAGAAACGAATGCCAAAGGTGCTGTGTCTGGCTTTCTAATTCACCTCAGTGTTGGTGTCTTCCCTTACCTTTCCTCATACACATTTTACTCAGCTTTCTTTCTGCAGCACAGGGCAAGGATCAAACAAGATCCTGCTAATGAAGCTCCCTGAGGAAAAGCCTGGCAATCAGAGCAGGTAAGAGCAGGTAAGCCCAGAAATCCTGGCAGGACTCAACTTCACTGCAGAACATGTAAGGAGAAAGCAAGGCAGCTGATGCCACTGCAAACAGGCAATTTATAGTCCCTCAGCTTCCAGCAAATCATCAGGAATATTTCCAAGACAAAATATAATGAAAGAAAGAGAAATGGCCACTAGTTTTTAGTACTGCAAGGGAAAAAAAAACAAAACCCAAACACAAAATAATGGGAAAGTTACAGGGAGAAAACAAAGCATAATCATCAGAGAAAAACCCCCTTTCTGCTTCTCTTCTGCTGGACAACTGTGTGAAGAACATTATTGGGATGTTCCAATGCAGAGGAGCACTGTGAAGAACAAGAGGGTTTCTCAAGATGGGTCACAGAACCTGCATTTCCCATACAGCCAGACCTGGACGTATTCCTGGTCCCTCGGGAAGCCTGTCAGATTCCCCACCACCCCATTTTTAAAAAAATAAACATTCAGGGTGGTTTGCACTGCCCTAACAAAAGCCTAATCTCTTTCCAAATGCAGGTAGAGATCCCTAGGTCCAAGACATAAAATTCTGTTAAATTACACAGTTGAGCCCTGGGCACATGTGGATATTTTGGTATGCTGAAGTGCTTAGTGTTGGAAATCCACCTGCATTATTTTATTTTTGTTAATATATTTTAGCATTTCCTTTTCATCACATGAATTTTGCACAGGAAGGCACTTACCATCGGAGACAAGAGCCAAAGGATCCTCTGGTGTGTTGTTAGGGCTTGGCAGAACTGGGATTCTCTCGCAGGACATTTTGCTGACTGTCTGTACTCGAATCTTTGGAGTCCTGGTTTCTTTTCTGAGTTCCCAGCAGTGGGCAGCTGCTGCAAGCCTCTGCTTCCAGTGGACACCTTTCCCTCTCCCTTTATGGGATCCTGAGGTTTTAAAGTAAACAATTCATTCTTGTTCTGATAAGTCATATTAAAATATTGATCTGGGGGAGGGAGATGACCCTCACTGCACTGAGCCAGAGTCACCTTTAGTCAGACTAACGAATGGAAAAAAAGCTCTGAGACCTCCATTTTCTCTGTTCCTTCAGAAAGTACATGTCGGGAGGGAAAAATGCAAAAGATAAGGGGGTTTCAGCTCTTTGTTTTGCTGAACCCTGAGATGAAGAGTGTTTACTCTGGCTGCATATTAATTGCTTACTTCTGCCAGTGAGACCGATTTCATCAGTTCCTCAAGTCACAGTGCTCATCTCCTGTTCACTGCTGGGGCTTGCCAATCTTTTTGCTTTCTTGAATTTTGATGTACTGTCTGCTTTGCTTGGGAATTTTCAAATGTTACTTTCCTAGGAGGTACAGGGAAAAGCCTGGCTTAGGTTGAGCCTATCTGAACACCACTGGCAAACCCAGGAATGGTACACACCTCCCAGGACCTCATCCAACAACAAGACCATTGCATAAACCTTTAGGTTTAAACATTTAGGCTTGATGAATTTCACTTTTTTTTTGTGAAGGTAGATGTGCATTTGAAGTCTACAGAAGGTATCTGACAATATGCTTAATCAGAAAAAGAGGACAAAAGACCTCATATTAAAAAGAAAACAACCAACCCAAAACCAAAATGCTGCATGTTGTCCAAAACTAGCAGAGAAAAACTAAAATGTGCTACTTTTAATCACAGCAGAAACACCACTTACTTGGTATTTGTGGGTTATGTTTCTGGGGAGGAAAAAAGCCCCTCAAAATGGGCCTCTGCAACTGTTGGTGAAGTACTGGTCACTCCACAGAGAGCCTGGGGAAAGTCTGAGATTACATTGCAACATCCAGTACTGCTGCAGACTGGTTGGGGTCCAGTTCTCTGAAATGAAATGCCAAAGTATTGGGAAATTCCTGGAAAAAGAAAAGGAACTGGTTTGTTTAAATGTTACTAAAGGTGACACAGGGACAGATAATGCAACATACATTGCACATACACCTGAGGGCCAGATTCTTCCCTTGGAAGTATATGGCTATGACCCCAAGTAAAATCATCTACGTTTGAAGTGTAGTCTAACTGTGAGGCTGGCACTGCTCAGAGCAGAGGACTGAGTCCTGTGTTCTCTGAAAGTCTCTTCCAGCCTAAATTATTCTGTGCTTCATTTCATATGCAGGCCTTACTAGTGAGTAAGGTGTCACTAGACAAAGGATACTATTTGATCCCTACAAAAGTCCTTTCCTCTCACTTGTCTTACATACAATGTGGAGGATATGTTGAGGGAAATGGAAACCACAGGGAAGGTGTCTTTTCTGTGTGGAAACAATTGAAGAACAGCTTCAAACCTGAAGGAATAATAACAGGGGCAAAAACCTGGGCTATATTTTTGTGGCTTTACTCCAGCACATAATCGATACTCTTCAACTGATTTGGGGCTATTTCATTCATGGAAAAATCCTGTCACGGTCCCCCCAGACATGGCCATGGCTCCCTTGGCTTAAACTTCCAGACAAATTTGGGTCAAAGATTTAGGCCAGAATCTTTTATGGAGAAAAATGACACATATCCAGCAGTGGAACTGAATTTATCCCTTTGCTTTCTTAATGTCAGTGACTGTGCTCACTCACATCATTTTTGGATACAGCCATCTAATTTTTGAGAAGACATTGCTACAGGAATTCTTGAGCTCAGGGTAGACAAAGGTGTTGTTTATCAGCTTATCCCAGAGTACTGCAGCATTCGAGGGGCACATTTACCACAGTCTCATGGAGGTAAAATCAGAGGTAAGAGCTCTGGAAGTGCTGAGACAGCTCAGATCCCAGAGAAGAAATGCTGTGATCCTTGTCACTCAATGGCCACTGGTTAAAGATTACCTGTGCTGGTCACTCCAATGGCTGGGTAGAGAAAGATTAACTCAGAGCAGCAGAAATTTGAGCAAAGGTCTTTAACCTGGAAGCCATGATCTCTTCTGATTTCTGCTAGGGATCAGTAAACGAAATTGATTTGAGTTTCCCAATCATCAAACTCATTACATCAGTCTGGATCATCCTGGCATTTCCTATAACCATTCAGCCTCTGAGAGAATCCAGGCTGGGAATTATCTTCAGGTTAGGAGAGTAAGGTCTGGCTGACAGTGTACCCTCCATGACATTGCTATTTCCACAGCAAAGTAGTTGTGGGCAGAATTTAAGCAATTTTGCTGTAAGCAGAGGGCTGACAAAAAAAACCTTACATATTTATTTACCAGTCCCTCAGGGCAACTCCTCTTCCCCCAGGAGACCTGCTTGCTCTGCAGACAGGTGTGCTGGGCACACCAGGGCACAAGGGATGCCCTGGGATGGGTTTGAGGGAGCACGTCCAGCTCTGTTAGTGTCCCCTGAGCTGCACATGAGGATAAGCAACTTTATTTTTTTTTTTTTTGTCTCTGCAGGTAAAAATCTTGCTTAAATCCACTTCTCAGAACTGGAAGAGACTTAGGTGGCCTGACCTCTGTCAGTCTCTAGTACAGTTTGTGCCTGGGGCTGAGAGGGTGGCTCTGCTGAGGGGCCCTGCCCCTGCCCCTCCATGAACCCAGCCTCAGCCCCAAGGCCTGGGGCAGAGTTTGGGGCACTTGGTGCCCTGGCTTGCTGCAGCCAGCTGTAATTAAATGTTAGGTTATTTATTTATTTATGTTATTTATTGCAATGCTGCAGTACAGCCAGACAGGAGCAGTCCCAGTGTGGCTCCCATGTCTCAGGAGATGCTGTCAGCATCTCACACAGGTGCTAGTTTTGCTCTTTTGAGAAAAGCAAAACATCAGTTTGGCTCCTTGAAAAATCATGAAGAAAAAGGTTTTTCTAGTGGTTTTATAACTCCATGCTGATGTTATACCCTGCCCTGGCCCAGTGGTGACTGGAGGAGCTCCTATAGCTAGCCTGGCCACCAGAAGGGCTTAAAGTCAGGGCTCAGAAGTAGCCAAGATAAGGCCAGTTAAACCCAGTTTAGCACGGGCTGGGCTTGGCTTTGCTTATTTATATTCATCTGCTCCTAATCCCCCAGTTACACAGAAGAACAGTGCATCTGTGATGACAATGTTTTGGAGACAGTGGTGACAAAGTAACAAAGAATGAGCCATTGAGCATCTTGTGTGACATTGCAGGCACTTTCCTTGCTAAATGGAAACTTCACACAGATTCCATATGTATTCCATATTTTTTACCAACTCATTTACCTCCCTGTGTAGCATGAAATTGCATTTCCCATGGCTATTCCAGTCCTGTTTGCCATGGCTTTGCTGAACTGAAGCCTTTTTCACAAAATCCTGATTTCAAGCCCTCAGAGAAAAAGACGCTGCTATTTTTTCCCATTCTCTCACTGTGGGTAATCCAAACCAACAGGTTTGAGGTGCAGCTGGTCTGTAATTGTAATCGTTGGTGCAAGTGCAGAGTGTAAGACATCATTAGGTGCCTAAAGATGGTTTTGAGTGAAAAGAAGGACTGAAGTGGGGAGGAAGGTGAGGCAGCAGCTTTTGAGAAAGAGTTGAAGTGCTCTCTTTCCACAAGGAAAGTCTTTGTACCATTGGTAACTGGAGAATGCTCCAGAAAGGATTTGCTTCCAGTGGGCAGAGGCTGCTTGTCAGTGACAGCCCTAGCACTTGTTACCTGGCCAGGGAGAGTGGGAAGTTTCCGTGTCAAAACTGGGGAATCCCGGGATGGTTTGAGTGGGAAGGGACCTTAAAGATCATCTCATTCCACTCTCATGGGCAAGGATGCCTTCCACTGTTCCAGGTTGCTCCAAGCTCTGTCCAACCTGGCCTGGGACACTGCCAGGGATGGGGCAGCTACAGCTTCTCTGGGCACCTGTGCCAAGGCCTCCCCACCCTCATAGCCCAGAATTTCTTCCCAATATCCCATCTAACCCTGCCTTCTGGAGGTGGGAAGCCATTCCCTGTGTCCTGTGAGTTCAGGCCCTTGTCTCAAGTCCCTCTCCATCCCTCCTGTGAGCCCCTTAGGTGCTGCAAAGCTGCTGTGTTGCAGGGAACATGCAAGCAGAAACAGCAGGGGGGAGAAAAATGAATCTTGAGCTCAAAATAAAGTGAGCATTGGCAATTCCTGACCTAGCATTGGGAATTACAACATGATATATCAAAAGAATGGAAAGAAGAATGATGCATGCACTGTACAGGCTGTAGAAACAGGCGTGGGAACACGCAGGTGTTCAGGCAGTTCATTAGTCCTGATTAGGTGTGAGAGTGGCTCAGGGACCTTGTAATGGTTTTTTAGTCTGAAGTGATTCTCAGTGTGGTGAGGGCTTCACAACTGCTTCAGAAGTTACAGAAGCTTCCCCATTGCATTAGATATTAAATTTACTGGATAACAACAGCTCTGGAGTTCCTGAGACTGCTCTTCTAGACTGACTGACCTGAAGAAACTTAAAACTGACAAGTAAGTGGACTTCTAGTTTGTGGTTGGAATGGGATGACTCTGAGGTTTCTGTACTCTGCAATTAAAATAGGTGGTGTTGTACCTTGGCATGTATTAGATTTGGTGAACTTTATAGAATGATTATCTATCATTAGGGGATGGGGAATCATTGGGAAGTGTGCTGGATCAGAAAGAAATCACCAGAAAACTTTTCACTGCCTGCCGAGCATCTTCATGCTCTCTGAGGATAGCTTAGAAATAGGAAAACAGAAATAACAAAGGGTGTGGTTAGTGAATCAGAAGTGGCTTCGAGTTTCAGCCTCTGGATGATGAAGGGTGATGGTGTGTGGATCCTGAACAGTTCTGCCTTTTTTGTGTTCCAGGGCTTTTTCAAGATCAGCTCTTGGAAATCAGTGGGTTTGTACTGTGCTCACTGAGCACCGTGGCGCAGAGCTCCCAAAAGTAGTTCACTGAAGTGCAATCCCAAATACTGCATAATGGACTAGGTTAAGGTATTCATGTGCCCACACTTTAGAACCCCCATGTGATGTCTGTACCAGCATTGCAGTTTCAGTGTATGAGAAACAGGACCAGTGTGAACACTGGAGTCCCAGTAGCTGGGACAAGAGGTCGCCTTTTCCCTGTTCTGGAGTCCTTGGCTGGAGCTCTGTCACTGCATGGTTGGAGGGTGGCTGTGGAGGGCCAGCTGTCACCGGGCACCCACTCAGGGTGTGCTGTGAAGCTGAGGGAGGGCTGGGAGCCCTTGCAGGCCTTGCTGTGTTTCCAGGAGGG